CTCACGCGTCTGTCTCTGAGGGAAACTCTCGTCTCTGAGTCCTCTGAGTGCTGATGCTCTTCATTTCTGCTGCTCTTGCTGTCGGGCGGATGCAGCTCCAGCCAATCAGAACACAGCACGGCTGGTCATGTGACGGCCACATCAGCAGATGGAGTGTTGTTGTAAGTCTAGCAGGGGAAGATCTGCGCTCGGAGGTTAATGATGATGGTTTATATTAGAATAGAGCCGCTGTGCAATAATAATGACTGTATTTACAGGACTGAGCGGTGCGGTTAGGGTTTGGGGTAGACATTAACCCTTGTGTGTGCTGTTGGGTCGTTTTTATCCACTCTGGGCTCATTTTGAGTGGTAGTTTGGCCGTAATAGTCTCAGTGTTTCAGCCAGCACAGGGCTGTCCAAACTCAGTCCTGGAGGGCCGGTGTCCTGCAGAATTGAGCTCCAGCTTGCCTCAACAAACCTGCCGGGATGTTTCTAGAAAGCCTTAGGCCGGACTCACACTATGTACAGTTGCCTCAAACCGGGCCAAAGCACGCTTGTCCACCTTCCCGTCTCCCCCAACGGCCCCTGCTCACACTACAATCAGGCCTGGGCACGCTTCCGTCATCGCTGCTGCGCTGTTCAGTGAGCGCTCTCGCTCAGCACAGTGGACATTTCTCTAGTTATATCGTGTCAGTGGTTTGTTATGCAGTGACATGCAGTCAGATATTTCACCACACAGTGCTTAGGGATGCGGTGACACGCAGTCAGATATTTCGCTGAACAGATCCGCCACTTTTAACGCTCATAAACAATCATAAAGTCGTCGTGCTGCAGGAATGAGGAGGTCTGCTGAAGCTGCAGCTGTGGTGCAGTGAGGGGTTTGCGTCTGTAATAATCTACGGCAGTTTGCGTTCACTGAACAGTGAGAATGATTAATAAATCCATATGAAACAGCTCCTTAAAGTCTCGTCTCGCTTTCAGTTTCGGGCTTTGGAGCGTTTTGCACTCACACTACAAGCCCAAGTGAACCGCGCTCAGGCACACCTCTTCTAACCGGGCCAGGGCCGACCAAGTGAACCGTGCCTGAGCCCGATTCAGCGCACTCACACTTCTCAAACGATCCGGGAAACGGGCCTGGGCACGGTTCAGATAGCATAGTGTGAGTACGCCCTAAGAGCTTGATCAGCTAGCCCACGTGTGTCTGATTGGGGTTGGAACTAAACTTTGCAGGACGCCGGCGCTCCAGGACCCAGTTTGGACACCCCTGAGCTAGCAGGATGATTTTTGACACAAAAAGCCTGTAGGCAGCCTGGGGAAAGGGTTAAAGCCTTTTTTCTTATAATATTGACCTTTTTGTAGTTATTGGCCTCATTTTTTATTAAATTATGAGCGTTAAATACTTGTAAGCGCTATTTTCAGCTGGATCTGCTTGTCGGACGGTCCTCAAACAACATTTCCTGCAGATTTAGAAAAAAGACTAATAATAAAACTTAATTTTCAAATACAGATCGATCACATCATGTATCATTAGAGACTTGCTGCTCACGTTTTAAATTGAGAACTCGCCTATAGTCATTTATTAGGCCAACACAGGTGGGCAGCACACTCAGCTGTCCTCAGAGCACACTGCAGCAGCGCCAAAACAGCATTCTGCTAGCTCTGAAACCCTTTCTCCAAGGTTATTTTCACTTTATTTTAAATGGCGGAGCAGTAAAAATAAGGCAATGAGCTCATGTGTGGGATGCATTCTGGACCTTTTTAAAGTGAGGGGTGGGTGTTTCAAACCACTTGAACCCCCCAGCTACAGGCCTGCACACTTTTTGAGAAAAGCTTTGAGGTTTTTTTAAAAAGTCAGCGAAACCCAGGCAGGTTTACTGCCCTACTGCTGTGTTCAGGACGGAGACATCCACTAAAATAAACTGCTGTACAAATGCTTCATTTTTTAAAATCTGTGCATTAATGTGTTCATCAGCCGCAGTCCTGATCTAAACTACTCAAATGCTTAGAAAATGACAGGACTTAACCTCCTTAATTAGCAAATTCATCAATGATGTGACTGATTTGGTGAAAAACACACACACAATGAGGGATTTTCAGTGTAAAAGTGATTGTAGACTGGATTTATTTACCTTTTATCAGTCTCTGATGTGTGAAGTAACATCGCCTTTAGTGCATTATTGTGATGCATTATTGACTTCCATTATAAGCACGTTTGTTGACTGTTAACTCGTGACACTTTATCATCATGCACTCCTGATTGTTGCTGGTTTTTAACAAATGTGTCATTTTCAGTGTTGATCATTGGTTGGTGCCAGTTTCTGGATTTTATATGGAGTATATGAGTAAATTAAAGTGTGTGTCTACACTCAAAATGTACAGCTCAGTTCTCAGAACTACACGGAGTAAACAAAAACAGAGGACCGTGTGTTTATGCAGCATCAAATGTGCTTATAATGGAAGTCAATGGAGCAAAAACAGCCAGTGACAGTAAACTAGGGAGAAAGAATGAAAATCTAACAGTGCATCAAAGCCAGTGTTGTCCAAGACTCGTAAATTAATCCAGTCCACAATCACGTTTATATTGAAAATACCTCAGTTTGTGTTTTTCTTTCACTAAATCAGTCACATCATTCATGAATTTCCCAATTAAAGAGTTCAAATCCTGTACATTTCTGAGCATTTGAGTAGTTTAGATCAGGACTGAGGCTGATGAACACATTTATGCAGAAAAAAAGAATCTGAAGCATTTGTACAGCCGTTTAATTCAGTGGATTTGTTCATCCTAAACACAACAGAAGGGCAGTACATCTGATCAGTGCACAGGGGTCAATAAAATACAATGAGTGCATGGGTAATTTAATAAATGATCAGAATAATTCTCATTAACGTCTGACCTCAGCTGTATCTCTTCTAGCAACAGCAGTCTCCTGAAGGTGGATGATGTTGTGTTGAGTTCTGCTGGATAGGGGCTCTTCTGCCTGATCTGATGACTGTAAACGCTCTCGCTGAATATCTTCAATCATCCGCTCAGATCTGATCCAGACAGTAATGTGGTTTACTATTGAGAAGGTGTGTGAATGTGGCCAGCAGCTGTCCATATCAGACTCACTCTGCAGTCATCAGGTCACCAGTGATTCTGGCTTAACTCATAAGTCTTAATCTAATTTACACCTCTTGTCTGTTTATTCACACCAGGGATCGCCCAATTGTTAAAAGAGTCCTAATTCCCATTCATTGTTCTAGTTACTCATCTCAAACGCTAATATTCACTATGAAGTGCTTGAGTTTGGTCAGGCTGAGCAGATGATCTGTTGAGCTAGATTAAGTGGAGATCATTGGTGTGTGAACAGCAGATTAGTCAAGCAGAATAGTGTTCAGAGTTTGGACTAGAAGTAGACAGAAACTCTGAGTAAGAGCAGCTCTTTCAGCAGCGCAGCATCGTCAAGGGTTTCTCCTTATCGCGGTTGAGAGTTTTCACACCCCTCATCACTTTGTTCAGGACTCCCAGACTCAGAAGATTATAACAGATGTCTTAATAATGCCCTGAATTATATATATAATTGTGTATAGTCCGCTGTCTGTGTTCAGGAGGAAATGTTTCAGACCGCGCTCGTCAATGTCAAACTGCCGGAGCGACCAATGAAATGATAGCAGGCGGAGCTTCACTGCTCACATGAGCCAATGAGCTCTAGAGGCGCGTAAGATTTCAACGGTTGAAGACTGAGGTAAGATGTTAGCACGGTTAGCGCTCGGCGACTACACATTTAATATCAGTGTTTTACAGCAGAAATCTGAATAAATCAGCAGTAATGTTCTGGAGTGTTTGCTTAAATTAACGCCTATTCAAAAATAAAATATTTGTCAAATAAATGTAAGTTAATACAGCATTTTACTGTTTGCGGTTATCCTCTACATTGCGTTTTTAACATCAGTATTTACACAGAGGTTAGCATTATCAGTCAACTTAGTGGTTATGTTGCGCTACATGAGGACTTAATAAAACACTGCAGATAGAGTCCCGAACTACCTGAAACTGCTTTTACTGATAGTACAGGCTATACTGATATTAATATAATTATGTTTTTCAAAGTTAAGGACAGAAAGAGCTCTTATGTTTGTAGAAGCGAGTCAGCCCTGTGAGTAGTCATGTAATACGCAATATTCATAACATTAGTTGTATATTAAAATTCAGTTGGTAAGCACCCGAGAGAGCGGTCAAGATGACAAACAAACAAATAAACTCATGTGCTGTGCTGCGCAGGTTTACTGTTTCAGTGCTTTTGCACATCTATGTACAGGTGAAGCTTCCTGCTGGTCCACAGCTCATCCTCCAGTGAAGAGCAGAGAGAGTGAAGGTTCTGGAAAGTGACTTTAGGCTGCATTGTGAAGGGACAGCTTTGGTTCAGGTGAGTGCTGCACATACAGGTGAGGTTATCCACCTTCATCATACAGTCTAATGTTTACAGACTTTTGATCTGTCAGCCACAATATATCCACAGAAAATGGGCAGTAACATGAGATTAGGTGGCAACGCGGTGGTGCAGTAGGTAGCGCTGTCGCCTCACAGCAAGAAGGTCTCTGGTTCGAGCCTCGGCTGGGTCAGTTGGTGTTTCTGTGTGGAGTTTGCATGTTCTCCCCGTGTTGGTGTGGGTTTCCTCGGGGTGCTCCGGTTTCCCCCACAGTCCAAACACATGCGCTATAGGGGAATTGGGTATGCTAAAATTGTCTGTGGTGTATGAGTGTGAATGAGAGTGTATGGGTGTTTCTCAGTACTGGGTTGCAGCTGGAAGAGCATCCACTGTGTAAAACATATGCTGGATAAGTTGGCGGTTCATTCCGCTGTGGCGACCCCTGATGAATAAAGGGACTAAGCTGAGGGAAAATGAATGAAACATGATTAAAGTGTTTATAGCTCTTGGTATGTTTTAGGTTAGTTCATGTTCTCATATTATATTATATTATTGCGTATAATAGTGTAATGTTAGGCATTATTCTGCTCATTATTAATTTTTAAGATATAA